CTCCCCTCCGCAGCACAACAGGCTCCTCATTCAGCCCCCAGCCGCTGTGACATGCCAGCCAGGGCGGGGGCTTTTGGCCTTAAACGTTGATACCACCCAAAGAAAATGCCATGGATGTTTGAACTCGGGCTTCTGCCTGGGACTGCGAGAGCAGCTGTGCCGGGGACAGCAGCCCGGGGAGACGCTCGCCTGAGCAATCCCTCCGTCCCAAAAGGGCACGGTGCAATTGGGATTTAGTCAAGAGCTGGCATGGCCAAGCCAGCAGGACGGGCACCTCAGCCTCCAGCACAGGGCTGTAATTCCTGCGCTGTTCAAAGTCTCTGACAAATGTTTAACCTTTTGCTGCTGCTGCTGCTGCTCCCTCTGAAGTGCATCCCGTCGGAGGTGAGGGACAGAGGGACCGGGATGCTGTGGATGAGGGGGTGCTGCTCACTGCTCTGGCCTCTGCCCGCTGCTGACCAGCACAAGGCATGAGCTGAGTTTACTTGCGTGCAAGTTCTCTTGCAAAGGGAGGGAGAAAAGGCTCATTTCAGTCCCAGGATAACACACACGCTGTTTCCCAACACTGGGATTAGCAAGTAACTGAGCTAAAGACAAGAGCCTGGCCTCAGCCAGGAGCAGCCACGTTAGCACAGCACAGTGCCAGGGCTACTGTGAGCTTGCAGCATGGCTAATTAGCCCTGGCATAGCCTCTAATTAGACTGTTTCTAGAGCTGGCTTGGGGCTCTGCACTGGGCTGCCCCAGGCTGGGAGCTCAGAGCCCTCCGCAGCGCGGGCACGCGTTGCTAAACCTGCCCGGCCCCGGCTCCGACCGCGGGCTCCACGTGGCCCAGGCAGAGCAGGAACCCCGAGGGACGGGCAGCGGGGCAGGCTCCCATCCCTGCTCATGGCAGCCACCCTCGTGGAAGGGGAATGGGTTTTCCAGGTGAGCAGTGGGTGAAACCATCACAAAACGCTGCACAGCACCCTGGCCACTGAATGCCCTCACTGGTAACGAGTCCAAGTTAAAAGTCCAGGAAACCCCACGGGCACTGAGCTCAGCCAAGCGCTGGTTTCACTGCTGGGCATTTTCTTTTTTTGTGCCAGAGCTTCGTGATGCTGCTGGGAATCTCCCAGAGGCTCCTCTCCCTCCTCCTGCACAGGGCTCATTTCTGAATTTGGGGGGTTTCAGTCCAGAAGGCCAGGGACAGCCTCTGCACCGCGCCAGGCAGGCGCTGCGCCGCAGCCAAAAGCCAGGGCGCTGAACAGTCGCGGCAGGCAAAACCAGCGCCGGCGCCCAGGCCCAGCGGGGAGGACGGCTCGGCACGAGCCAGGCTACTTAGGGAATGGTGAAGCCTGGTCCGCTGGAACATTCGATTCCACTTCTTCAGTCCTGGCAAAACAAACAAAACATTCGTTACCTTTGGGGACTTTCGAAGTCTGGCTCTGAACTTAACGTGAATTAAGTTTCTCGCGTCACTGCTGGATGTGAGACCTCGCACATCAGCCCTTCGCAGTGTCGGGAGGCTCTGGGCAGCTTGGAGGCCGTGGAGCAAACCCCACGCGTGCCAGCATCACTGCGCGCTCCGTGCACGCCACGGCCTTTCCCTCCGCAGCCCCCACACTTCCCACGCATGCTTGGATCAAAACCAAAACTTGCAATGACACAGAAACCCAGAATCCCGGACTGGCTGGGGCTGGCAGGGCCCTCGGGAGCTCACCCAGTGCCACCCCCCTGCTCAAGCAGGCTCACCCAGAGCAGGGGGCACAGGACAGCGTCCAGGCAGGGGGTGAAGAACTCCAGAGAAGGGGACTACACGCAGCCTGTGCCAGGGCTCTGTCACCCTCAAAGTCAAGAAGTTCTTCCTCATGTTCAACTGGAACCTGTTGTGCTTCAGTTTGTGCCCATGGCCCCTTGTCCTGGTGCTGGGCACCATTGGGAAGAGTCTGTCTCCGTTCGCGTGGCCGCAACCCTTGAGATATTTGTAGGTATTGATGAGGTCCCCTCTCAGCCTTCTCTTCTCCAGGCTGAACAAGCCCAGCTCCCTCAGCCTTTCCTCCTAGGGGAGATGCTCCAGCCCCCCCATCATCCTTGTTGCCCTCCTCTGGACTCTCCCCAGGAGCTCCTCATCTTTCTTGAACCGGGGAGCCCAGAACTCTCCAGCAAGGCAGGGCATCACTGGGCAGTCACAGGCTGATCCAACCCATGTTAGATAGGCAAACGTGATTTAGAACAACCTTCAGATAACATGGAAAATAGCTAAATACAGGCTGAGACGTTTCAGGACAGCGCATCTGTACAGGCAGCCCTGAATCACTCGGGCTGCATTTGTGCACAGCTCGAATCAACACAAAGAGGAGCTCGATGACTTCGGGGACTGCGGGGCTTCTCTGAGATTTTAAATGTATTCCTTTCCTCGGAGCAAAATGTTATTTCGCTTGATGGGATGCTGGTCAAAAGCAGAAGCATGCGGCTACATCAGGAGGTTTTTATTTTAACCTTTCTTCAGGACATTCCTCAGTCAACTCATTTTTAACCCAGTGAAACGTCAAACACCAAGAGCTTCAGGACATGCTCCGTTTGGGCATAAAGCAACGTAGCATCTGCTGCAGAGCATCCCAGGGCAGAATCCGGGCTATTGTGCTAAAATCCATTAGATTAAAAAAAAAAAAAAAAAAATCTTATCCAGTAAGAAAACCAATTCGTCGTATGAGGTACAAAGGGAGCGAGGGGGCCTGGAGCGGGACTGTCCTCCCCCACCGGAGCCACGCACCCAACGCCCCTGCCTCAGCCAGGGCTTCACCCCCCCAACTATTTTTACCCTGATGTTATTAAACTAAGGGCCTGCACCACCCCAGCCCCTCTCAGCCCTTGCTGTTTTCCGACACCACCATCTAGTGGCAAAGCCAAGAGGCTTGGGAAGCGCTTCCACCCCGCTTCCACCTCTTCCTCCATCTCTTCTACCAAATTTACTATTCGTTTTGCAACCCAGAGAGCACCCCAGGCTCAGCCTCCCTTTCCAGCCTGGGAGCCCCATGCCACCACTCAGCGCTCCGGGAGCGGGCCCTGGCGTGCTCCAAGCAGATCCTGCTACAGATAAAAACCAGCACTGACGAGGCTGGACTTGCCCTCACCAGACTGCCCAGCGACACGGCAGGGACCGCTGGACTGGGAGACGCCACCGAGATGCAAAGTTCAGGAGTGCCGTGGAAAAGCGGGGTCGGGCTGGGCACCCCCGGCTCTGCGGGCAGCGGGTGACGCAGCCGGCTCCTCCGTATTAAACACACTTGGCATTTATGAAACGAGGCCCTGCACCTAGAAAATGAAGGTTAGGGTCCTGATTTTATAGAAGAGACATCTAGCGATCAGCACATACGTTAAAATTACTTTATTACTAAAATATTTTTACATGTAGTAAAGATAACCAACCTGCAAACACCATGCTTCTGCTCCTCCTGAGAAAGGAAGCGCAGAGGTGGGTTAAGACAAGCCGCTAAGTGACTACGCTTGTCCTAGGAGCTTGTAAGTAGGCAGATGCGCTCACATTCTCGTCATCCAAGTATTTTCATCCAGTCTTGTTTGGGCTGCGTTTAGAATCTGGGATCTCTGTGTAATCCAACAGCTGCACCAGTAACACAGTTTTAGAAAAGCCTATTTATAGAAATATCCCCCCCCGGTTCCCAATAAAACTATACAACGGGTCCAGGAACAACTGTTCACCAGCCATTACACTTAGATTTCCCATTTAAAGAACCAGGACAAAGTCCGTCCTGAGGTTTCTCCACTGTGAAGATACATTTCTCTTCTCACTTACTCAGAAGCGAGCAGGACAAGTCCTCCAACCCTGCAGGAATTCCAGCAGCATCGCGCCCAGGATGGGATTTGGGCCCCACAGGTCCCAGAGGCGGCTCTTCCACTTGCACACGCACCGGAGGATCGAGGCTGAGCTCCCATGGCTCTCTTCGTAACCTGCTCTTTGAGACTTTATGAAACCAATAGGTATTTAAAAAAAAAAAAAAAAAAAAGAAGCAAACCCCAAAAGAAACACCAAAGCCCCCTCCGCTGACAGCAGACCAGGCCACGTTCACCAGGTTCTGTCTGAAAATGTAAAGCGGCCGCTTTGCTTTCTTGAAATTGCCTTGAGACAGAACCAGCTCCCAGCTCCGTGGCTTCGTGCCGAGATGGAGACCACGAGGAGCCACCACAGCCCCTGCCTGGCGGGCGGCAACCTCCGAACAGCGACGCTACCCTCCACGGGCACGACCGTGCAAAACGGTCACGGTACAGTCAGCCCTCGACACGCTGTTAAACTGAATTCGTACATATAAAAGTAACTGTACAGAGGAAATATTTTCAGCAGAATACAATCTTTCAACATTCAAAATACACAAAACTGATTAAAAGTAGCCGCCTGCACTTCAGTGTGTGACACCATTAAACACATCCAACAAGCAGGGGGTGCGAAGACATCGCATCAGCGGAACGACATCCTGGTGGTGTTGGCTGGAACAAAACACTCAACCGACCAGAATGGAAGGGGAATTCACAAAGCCATGGGCAAAACCCAAAGCCTGGAAACCATAACAAAAACACAGAAACAAAATGAAAATGTACTAAAATTTAATCATTCATAAAAGCTGTAATTTAATCTGTGACAGTAAAACACAAGAAGCAATATTAGAGTTGGTTTAGTATATTATATATTTTTGCTTTTAAAGCCATAGAAATCAGTTATCCCAGTTTTCTCCTATAAAAGACCCATTTTTCCAAAGCACTATGCACAAACATTTTTAATTAGAATATAATGGCAGAATGAAAAAAAATGATATTCCGTAACTTTTAAATATAAAATGAAGTCAATGACTCAAAAAGTTATTTGTTGCAGTGAGTTCAGAGGGAAATTTCAGATAATATATATCTATAGTTATAAAATATAATGGAACATTTTTAGTGCTTGATGGGGAGAAATGATGATAAAAGGGTCAATATGACATTTTAATTATAGTAGCAATATCTAACACTTGAAATGCATCCATGCTCCTTTGTAGAATCATACGCTAGAGTCAATTATATTTATTTTCACGTGTTAACTGCTATTGCAAAGGAGGAGTACTATCGTCTTAAATTTCCAAGAGATACACACAGAGCCATTGCTTTTCCAGGGACTGTGTGCGAACCGCTTTCAGATCTAAATTCTTCTCGTAGTATATAAAAACAGGAGAAGCTTCTTCAGATATGTTATTAATTTCCATAAGGTTTTGAAGTCGGGAATGCTGGCACTTTCCATTTAGGCAACAGTTCTTCATTCCTGCAATCTAGAGAAAGTAAAAGAAGATGACGGAGGGGCCTTTCCCACCCTGCCGGCGAGGCGCACGTCTCGAACACGGGCCTGAGAGCTCCCCCCGACGACCCCCGCACCCAGGCGCCTAAAACCAGGCAGCGCTTCCGCAGGAAGAGCCGATCTTCCTCCAGCATGGGGGTTTGTTCCTACCACCCTCCCAGTCCGGAGGTACGGAAAAACAAGAGACTTTGCAACCTAGAACGCTACGGAACAGGTTCTTGGTTTGTCGTGGCTGCGGCAGAGTGGCGGCAGAGGAGCCACCATCCCCTTTCTGCCGCGGTAAGGGCAGCGTCCTCCCAACTCATCCGCCTTAGGGGACAGGCAGCCTTCAAGGGGACTTTGAACTCGGCAACGGATGAGCAATTTATGGGAGAGGGCTTTCATCTTTTGCTATTTCTGAGATGCTCGTAAAGCCTAATGGGTTGGAGACCCCCTGAGCCCTGGCTGCAGCTGTAACGAACGGGCAAGGAACTGGGAGGAGATTTACAAAGAATGGGGGGAGACACTGCGAAGTATTTTGATGATCTAGAGCACATTTGGGGGCGCGGGTACGAGAAGTCTCACGGGTAACTGACTGATCACAGGCCCTCCTTCCGCAGCCGCTGGTATTTCAGCGCCGGGCCGGAGGGCGAGGGCAGAGCCACACCGAGCCAGGCAGCGGGCACGTCCTCCCTGGGGCGGGGAAGCCCGTCCCCAAGAAGCCACCCTGGCTGACGCCACACTACCCAACTTCAGAGATATCACCTGAGGAACAGGAAAAGCCACTTGGGACATGCTCTTCAATTTCTTTTCCTAAAGCCATTGTTTCCCCACAACCCCGAGCTATTATTTTCTGGCATGCAAAGCTCCGGATGAGAGACTCATCAGTCAATAAAGCACAAGTCATTAGAGGCCAGGTTAACTGCATAGCTCCACTTATCCCACGCAGTCACACCTCGGCTACATCTCGTCCATCTACAGCACGAGCTTCAGAGCTGGCAGGAGCCAGAGCCCTGCCTATTTTCAGGAATTCATCCCTGAAATCCTCCTATGACCAGGACTTTGTCTTAAACGCTGCAGGGCAAGGGCGCTCGCGTTGCTTTGCCGGCTGCACTGCACCTATTTCTGGAACTAAAGAGCAGAACACCGAGTGTCTGATGGGTCACAGAAATCACCAGGAGCCGAAGCTCTGAAGGCGGCCGGCACCGCCAGCGCTGCGGCGAGTTCACTCCTCCCGACTCGTCCCTACAGGGCCAGGCTGTGCTTTGAGCTACAGGCACCGTTCAGGATGATCTGGTTGTGAGATTTTGTCCTGGGGTTTGGAGTTATTTAGTGGGTAGAAAAAAAAGGAAAGAACAGAATAAAAATTTAAAGGTAAAACTATTGTAGCAGATTATTGTAAAAGAGGGGTAAAAATGTAGTCCATCACAATTCCACACACCTATCAAAGTTCAGACAAAAATTCTGGCCTTCTGTATGCATTGTTTTGCAGTATTAAGAATGTCTGCCACAAGGAAACCTGAATAATTCCTTTCCTGAAGAGCGAAGATGAATCTTTTCTTACGGATTATATTTATTGAACAATTTAGATGTGAAATGCAGAGGAAAAAGGAGCAGTGGCAGACAAAATTGTATAGCTGCAGCTCCACACAGAGCGAATGTATCAGCCTGCCTCCGACGGGTGCCACGCGTGTGCTCCCGGGGCAGCCCGGGGAGTACTTCTGTCCAAAACCTGAAGCTACAGAAACGCTGCTTTCTTTCAGGAGTGCGACACAGCAGCTGTAAGCTGTACCCTGCCAAGATACACAGGAAGATTATTTATAGCTGTGTCCAACCTTGGGGTGGGTTTTTTTGTGTTCATTTTTGTTTGGGGTTTGTTTTTTTTTTTTTTTCTTAGCAGGCAGCTTTTTATTCCTGTGCCATTGAAATCCATGTCCCACCCAAACCAATTTGCAGTTGTCCCCATAGCACCTAGGATGGAGCCAGCAGCTGGCAGAAATAACACAAGTTACACAGATGCTACCAAGCTTCAGCAGAGGATAAAAAGGAAGCAAAACTGAGCCCAGAGCGTGGTGTCACGAGACACAGAGAGAACCTGCAGGAGCCCGAAGGAAGCCCCTGCTCTGTCACACTCATCAACCCAAGCAAAAGGAGAAAGGGAGAGAAGCAGGGATTTCTCTGCCAGGTCAGTCGGTACAACTGACTTTTTAAAAAAGTCCAACACACACAGCAGAACGGGAGTGAATTTTGTATTTGGGAGCAGCCAGAAGGAGAAGGGAAGGGCAACGAGTCCCCTCTCTCTGGTGGGAGCAGCTCGCGGTCCGACCGCCTGAGCCGTGGGTGTAATTCAGGCACCTCTTACCTGGCTCAGAGCTGCTGCGCAATGGATGTCTAAAGCAGCAGACATGATTTCTTTTTAGGCTTCTTCTTTTCCACTGGTGTTTTTCTATTTATCTGTCTGACCAGGTCATAAAAGATCTGAAAATGAAAAAACACAAATTGAAAAAATCAAAGCGATATAACACTGTGCAAGTGTCAACAACCAGGCAGGTTGGCCAGCCGATACGCTTTCCTGATGGCTGAAGCCTCATAAATTCAGTTGAGCTGCTTGCATTTACTCAAACGTGTCTCTCAAGCAACCGCTTATGGAACAAGAGAGCACAGAGCTCACACCAGCGCCATCGGGGAGCTGTAAGCTCGTGTCCTGCAGCACACAGCTTTCTCCTTTGGGTTGCATATGACCCAAGGCTTCAGGAGAGCACGGCAGTGACAGGGCCACCAACCCCTGGCTCTGGAAAAGTGGGAGAAAGTTGGGAAACGACAAAAGTTTTTTTAGGAGACAGGCATCACATCCTGAAGGATCATCTCCCTGGGTGGCGAGCGCCTGCAGAGCGCTGCTACACCCCCAGCAGCGCCTTCTCGCCATTGGGAAGGGCAGCCCCGTTCCTTGGCTTTCACCTTATAACGTGGCCTTCGTTCACCCGCCGCGTAGGATGCGCTGTTCATTTTCCTCTTTGCCAAACCGATTCGAGCTGTTCATCACTTCCCCTTTTTGCCCGGCCTAATTTTTTGAGTTTATTAATAAAAATTAGCATGGAGAAGCAAAACATCCGCCCTGAACTCAGACATTTCCATAAGGCAACGATTACAGGGGCCTCTTTCAGCTTCGGAGACGAGTTTCTTGTGAGTGCTTTTGCTGCGAGTTGTTTTCCCAGCGATACCCAACCCATTTATAGCAAAATGAGCTTTGCAAAAATGCTTGGAGCTGGGTCACAGTATTGAGAAGTATTTAAACCTTCAGAAAGCTCCACCCTTGTCCTTGTTTACTTTCTTCCTTCCTGGAGTGGCTGACAGCTCACAAATTCTTGTTGATTCCAAGGAAATTCAGAAGACAAAGAAACGGTTTATAACAAAATGCAACAACTGGAAATTTAAGATTTTCCGGCTATTACCTCCACGAAAAAGCGCCAGTGAACAGCTAGAAAGCTTCAAATGGAACAAACACCACAGTGGCTTTATTGAGCTCTCATGTAAAATATTTTAAAATAACGTTTGGGAGTTGCTCTTTATGAAGCTCATTGCTCCAGTTTTCTACCATCAGCCCCAGGCAAAAGTAGCGCTTTAATCTCCAGTGGGCATGGCCAAGACGTTCACAAGTGCACAGATGAGATACGAAGAAGTGGTTTCTGCAGGAGAAGTCCATTAATAAGCAGCATCTTCTGTGCTGATGCAAACCAGCTTTCCATATTGAAGCCTTCATGAACAGGAGCCAAGATGATTTGAATGTGATTAGGATGGGCAGGAGGAGTCTGAATTTTTGAAGGCACACAGAAATTCATCACCCGTTAGGCCAGATTTTAACAAAGTTAGAAAGTCCAAAAGTAGCTAAAAACCAAAGCCCAGACTAACGCAAATGCTTCCCCAGTCCAGGAGCCAGCAGAACAAATATCCAGGACAGTAAGTTGCTTGATTCATGGTGTTTCTTCTCTTTAATTTCCTCAGCTTTTATGCTTTTCATAACCAGACAATATAAACTGGCAGAAAACCAGAAAATTAAGATCACAATAAAGCCAGACTAATCTTCCCGTTAGTAATTTTCTCCTCTATGATCCAAGTCTCACTGGAGGCAGTAGACAGGACAGGGAAACAGGGAGAGAGAGGATTCACAGGCTAAGGACGATGTATGCCAGCCACGGGTGTGCGTTCACCCCGGGACAGCCCCACGTTCTGCCTGCTACGGAATCCCCTCTCCCCGGAGAGCTTTAGGGCACCTTTGGCTAGCGAGAGGTCAGTCTCTGCCACAGACTGTGGAAATACAAATAAACCAGAATTTGTTGTACTCCACAGGGATCCGTGCGATGACTGAGCCATCACTTTCTTCATTAACAGTCACGGTTTTACTACAGCTCAGACACAGGCACAAAACAAAAAAAAAAAAAAAATCCCTTCTGGCAGGAGCCTGGCTCAGCGAGCTGCATGGACAGGGTCAGAGCAGCGAGCGGCACAGCAAAGCCACTGCCAGCCCCAGGAGCTGCAGCTCCCTCAGCCC